GGTTAACATTATTCCTGGGTGTGTCTGTGAGGGTGTTTCCATAAGACTAGCAGTTGAATTTGTTGGTTAAGTAAAGTAGGTTGCATTGCCAGTGTGGATGGGGCTCATCCAATCTGTTGAGGGCCAGATTAGAATGAAAAGTGGAGAAAGGAGGAATTCACCATTTTTCTTGCCTCACTTCCAAAGTTAGGACATCTTGTGTCATCATTCCCACACTTCGATTGACATCTATGTCCTCGACTCCCATATTTTTCAGGCATTAGGACTTGAACCGAATTATACCACGGGCTTTTCTGGGTCTGCCAGCTTGCAGAAAGCAGACTGTGGGACTTCGCCGACTGCATAATTGGCTGAGCCAATTTCTCATGATAAATCCTTCTGTATCTATATTTCTATCTGTCTCTTTCTACCTACATACATCTGCTATGTTTCTCTTGATGACCCTGACTAATAGAGTCATATTTTCTAAATCAGTGGGGATGTGTGATAAGCATGTAATGTATTCAGTTTCCCAGATACTCTTTAGGTAACCTGGCTGGCCCTATATGCTAAATTCTCTCACATCACCCAGTTTTATACCCATGTTATCTTTCAAATAATGAAAATTTTGGAGTAGTCAATTGATCTTCTTTTGAAATCATTGTAGATCAGACGTGAGACAAAAGTGACAAGTCTGTCATAATTCTACATGCATATTAATAAAGAAAAACATTTATTAACCAAAATCAAGTTCTAGTTTAGAAACAAGGCTGTTTTTCATGGTAATAGGAAATAGGAATGTAGACAGAATTTCTATGCTCCTATCCCTACTAATTGCCTCACTTCCTTAAGTAATCAGAGTGGAAACACAGCTCATAAAATGTGAGTATCAGCTGGGCTCAGTGTTGTGTATTTATAGACCCAACTACTGGGATGTTTAAGGCAAAAACATTGCTTGAGCCCACAACCTCAAGTCCATCCTGGGCCGCATAGGGAGACCTCATCTCTAAAAATGAACTAAGAGGCTGGGTGCGATGGCTCAAGTCTGTAATCCTAGCAATTTGGGAGGCTGAGTAGAGTGGATCACCTGAGGTCAGGAGTTTGAGACCAGCCTGACCAACGTGGTGAAACCCCATCTCTACTAATAATACAAAAATTAGTTGGGCTTGGCGGTGCAAGCCTATAGTCCCAGCTACTCGGGAGATGGAGGCGGGAGAATCGCTTGAACCTGGGAGATGGAGGCTGTAGTGTGCCGAAATTGCACCACTGCATGCCAGCCTGGGAAAATAAATAAATAAATAAATAAATAGATAGATAGATAGATAAATAAATAAATAAATAAAAGTGATCCCAGAAAGAAGCAAAAAGTCATTATCAGGCAAAACTGATTACAATGTTTAGCCTAAACCTATCTCCTCTTCTGTCTTTTGCCCTGAAAATGGGGCCTTCTTTCCCTTTCGGAAAGTCAATTCGCAGACTTCTTGAAAGACAAAGCCTGTTGTTTTCTCATTAAAATGTTTAGTCTACTTGGATATCCTTGAACATGCAGGCTACTCTGCTGGTGGGGTCTCATATCCATGAATCCCAAGTGTAGTCATAATCTCTGCAAGAGTGTCCTTCCAAGGTGGATGATTTGTCTCCTTGACCTTCCATTCAACCCCCATCTAAAGACATCTGCCCTGATATGGTCCCAATTATTAAAAAGTAAAACAAAGGGAAAACAGTAGCATTGTGAATTAACCTTCCTTCTGTGCTAGACTTTACAGAATTCGTTAGAGCTGGTAGCTGAGAAAACCAGGGTTTGTTTCCCCGGCACGTAGCAAAGAATCTCTATGAGAATGTACGTTTTGATAAATAAAAGTTTTGTGACTTGGTTCAAGAAAGAAGGCCACTGGGAGGATTCTCCAAAGCAGCGTCTTCCTGAGGGAAAGTGACAAGAACATTCTATGGGGTGATGGAGAGGGCAGAGAGAGGGTGTATCATCACATATAGAGGAGGAGTCCCAGTTGCCCAGACACAGTGAGTGATTCTGCCAGCACATAGTTCACATGTTATGGTAATGAGACTCCTGACTGAGTGGAGACTTTAGCACGGTAATGAGGAAAGTTCATGCCGGTTTATCTGTAAGTTGCTGGGTTATGCCAGAAGCTGGTTCCCACCAGCAAACTTGTATAACAGGCTGGTTGCTCAAGTTGATTAAATTCTTATAATCCCTGGAGACTCTCCCTGTCAGCTTACAGAACAATTAACTGCATTTACTCCTGCAAGACTTTCTGGAGATTTGATATTAAGAGAATTTTATAAAATCAGACATGGGAGGTTCAAGGAAGAGAAGTGGACTCTAAGGGTCATGTCTTTGGAACATGCTGATGTGACCACTTAACTTCTCTAATGGTGGTCTCTGTGGTGCTGGCCTTGGGTCCAGGGCAATGAGAAAATCTTGGATGTCTACTGCAGAAGGGGTAGTGACTCCAGCCAGGGTTTCCTGACGGTCAAGCACAGAATCCTCCTTGCTCTTGTTTGAATTGTCTCACTCCCTGGGAGAGGGGAGCTGCCTCTGACCTCAGCCCAATCCTCAGCATGGGGATGGCAGGAAGATGATGTAAAAGACACGGAGGAGCTGGAGAGAGGCCATGGCAACAGGGAGGGGAATAACATGGGGCTGCACCATGAGAGGATGATGGTGTGATTCACTGAGATTGGAAGACTCTTGTTTCCCTCTCCCTCAACCTGTGGTTCTTCACTGGGGCCTTGCTTCCACTCTCGTCTCCCAAATAGTTGAGTTCTGCACAGCAGCTGGACTGATCTTTAGGCAACATTATTCTTGTATGTAACATGCTAGATTTGTTCCCCATGAGGAACGTACTTTATTCTTCCATCTTCACAGGCATGAAGGGTCTGAACCTCATTAACTCCTGTCATTAATACTCCTGGCTATGATGATCTTGTCCCGACCAAACACCTTTTGTGCTTCTAACACGCCGAAACTCTATCCATTCAGGATCATTTTTTAAAACTGAAAATGTTTTATTACATTAAGTAATAAATACATACAAAGATGCAAATAATTGTAGTCATTCTCTTTCAGATGTTTTAATCAACTTCTCGTAAACACAGAACAGAAAGTCTGCTTACAGCCTTGCTGTTTGTCAGGACTTTTGAACTGTGTTTCTCTTTGCTGGGATGATTCTCCACCTGGTGTCTGCATGACTGGCTGCTTTTCCTCCTGTTCTGATTTCATTCTCTGAGATAGGCTTTTCCTGGTGACACTCTGCCCTGTGATGTCTGTGGCATACACAGAACCTCTATATCGTGCTGCTCTGTGTAATTTTCTGTGTACGATGCTGTGTATTTTTCCTCCTGACACTTAGCAAAATTTTGCATGCTTAGAACAATTTTGTATGTTTATTTTTATCCTAGCATAATGTGGCCCCAAAAGAGCAGTGACCTGTCTGGGTGTGTGTTGCATCAACACTCCCTCAAACTGTGCCTGGAGCAAGGTATCTACTCAGTAGATGTCTGCTGGATGAATGAATGAGCGAAGGAATGGATGACAGGAGAGGGGATGAAGTCACAAGGTGGAGAGGGCGTGGGGGCTTGTGGGGACTGATCCCTCTGTCCTGTGGTTTTAGATATGAGGCATCCCTGACTGAGAAGATACTTGTGATCTGGTACCTGAAACAAAGAAGGTCCACGCCATCTTTCTTCACAGGAGGCGTGGCTCCAGCTTTTGGTGTGCCACCTTCTCCTTCTGCTACTTTGAGGGTTGGGAAGACTGCACTCACTTCCTGACATGTCCTATTTTACCTAGAGGCAGTGGATTCTGTTGAGCACTGAGATTTCCCAAACTCAGTGTCCCTGTGCAAACTTTTACGTTGACAGCCCCACCTTGGAGAAGCAAGATCTCAATGGCTTCTCCCGAGGACAGACTTCAATACAGCTGCCGTCTGGTGCCAACGAGAGTCACTATTACTGACATGGAGTCATCTGAGGAATGGAAATTGCTATTTCTGAGAGTCTGGAAGAGGAGCAGAAATATAGAAGTCAGAAATCTCAGACTGAAGGACCAAGGTGCAGATCTGATGGCATCGTATCTCTGTTGTATTGTGAGTCAGGCCTTTCAAAAGGACCCACTCTGTCCCCGGCACAATCACTTGAGTGCTGCACCTGTCCACAGCTTGCAAGAAAGGGCTTCCCCTTCTTGTTTCTCATGGATTCCTGAGTGAATGAAGCCTTGTAATGGAGGCCAGGGCAAGGGCTCTCATTATCCATTTCTTCTCTCTCTGGGTCTACACATCCCTAATTCTCGAGGCTGTGCCCTACCTGACAGGTGTTGAATGAACCCTTTGACTCACCACTGGGGACAACTATGGAGGGCAAAATGGACAGGAGGCAACTCAGCTTCATGAGTGCTCCCACTTCCCCGTCCTCCTCATTCCCCTTCCCCTTCCCATGTGACCAGCGGCTCCCTATCTCCAGGACATGGGAGTTTTGGGAATGATGACCACCTCTCCTCCAGGCAGTATTACAATCTGTCCCTATTGCTGTCTGCACAATTTATCTCATTGCACATTTGACTCAAACCCTGGTTCCACCTGCAGTACAATTGCTGATAGCTGGAGATTTGATGTGCTCATTTAAAAGAAGTATCTCTGACTCTAAACTTGTTTTTATCTTGGTTTCACTATATTTATAGCATTCTTGACTCTTTCTACTTTTTTTTGTTTTCTATCATAACATTCAATTCTATCAAAATTTATCATTCATAAATCATAATGAAACATGTGCATTTTCAGCTTATTCACTGCAGCTCTTTTTTTCTTGGTATAGAAATCATGTCAATAAAAACCATAGTTGGACCATAAAGCATCAAATGGGACCTCAGTATCAAATTGGTCTCAATTCTGGAATACAGCTAAAACAAGTGGAGATCTGTACACAAGTTACAGGTTGGTGTTAGGGGAGGGGCCAGTGGATGGAAAATTGCTTAGAGGAGATACCAAGGCGAGGGAGACCAATGCTAAGTTGACTCAATTGGATTTTTTTTAAGGCAGGCCTGGAATCAGGTATCACATGGAGGTTGATGGGGGAAATAAGGAATTTGGTCAGATATTAAGTGTGAGAGATTCATGAAAAACCCATATCACTAGAGCAGAGTTTCGCTAAATGACAGCAGCGCGGCCGACGAAGACACACAGACATTTCCAGATGAATTTGCACAGCAGCTTGTTGGAGGTTCACAAGGCACTTCAGCTCAGGAAACCTGAAGGGGTGTGGAGACTGAAGAGGACAGATGCTGATACCCAGGGTACATAGAGGGATGGGATCTTGGCTATGATTGAGGAGCTTGGCAGATGAGTGATGATGAGGAGTGCTGATACAGGAGCTTAGATGATTCTATCCAGGAGTACTGGAACCACTGGATACTGTGGAGGATCCCGTGGATCTCTGTTTTCACATGCAACTACATAGAAACTCTGTCCTTGTCTGTCTGCATACTCGCAGGTTGAAACATTCTGTGCACCTCTATTTATGTGTTTACACCGGAGTAAAGGCACCCGGACGCTACTACGATGACAATTTTGGAGAGTTCTGTTATGAACGCAGGGTATACTTGGGTTACGACAAACATTAACTACATTTGCAAAAGTTGTACGAAGAAAAGTATTTTGCTTTTCGCAACACCGTTGATACTTGTTAATTACCCGCATTGCAATGTTGCATGAAGGGGGGTTCATATTGATGTGCTGGATGGCAAACCACTGAGCCCTTGTAAACTGTGGGGGTCTGGCATGGAGTGAGCCCTCCACACCCATAAGCCCCAACAGAAGAAGCAGACAAATTTGGGAAGTGAACAATTTTGGAACCATGTTTCCTGTAAGAAAAGAAGAGAAGTAACTACTCCCTGATCTGGTCTCGGCTATGACACACTCTGTAGTGTGTCAACCCACAGGCCCTTCTACTGCCACTCTCAGGTCCCATTTCCTTTTTCTTCCAGTCCCCAGACTGTGCCACATCGCCTAAGCACTAACTTCAGCTTACCTCTCCCTGAGGTGCTGCCCCATCACTGTCCCTCCTTTCCCAGCTCTGGGGATTGTTGACTTACCCAGTCTCTGAGCTGCAGCTCTGTGAGAACTGATCCGGCTGGTTGTTCTGGGGTTCAGGGGCAGCTGGTCTCCCTTACTTGGAACTGTTTAAATAAAGCATCTCCTGGTGGGTTGGGCCAGCAGAGCCAGGAGGGAACGTCTGACTCTTGGTCATGCAGAAACCCACAGATTGACACATGGTCCACTTGTGCAATCAGCCTTTTTATTTGATGAGTTAACTGAGCAACAGATATCCAAAGACAGCCCTGTTACTCTTTCTGCTCTAAGGACTCTAATTCCAAGTCATCCTGTGTAAGACAGAGTTTTGCTGGTTGGATTTGGACTCTGGATGAAAACTGAACGCTGCCTGCAGATGGACCACAGATTTTGTAACTGTCCTCTGGCAGGCCCCTAAATGACATGAAGGCAGGCATCAGAGTTAGAAAAAATAGAGCAACAGAGGGCTGTTTGCCCAGGAGGAACCTAGCTTCCCTTTCATTTTTAGTAATATCCTTGGTTCTCTCTCACACATAATGCTCTCCATCTCATCCACCACGCTTTGCTGGAAACAAGAGCCACTACTTTCTTGGGGTACAAGATTCTGTAGATAATTAAAACAATCTGCTCCACATATTTGAGGGAGTTTTTTCTTTACTTCTCTTGCATTGGATCCACTTCTCTTAAGTCTTGCCCTCATTATTGCTTCCACTTTGTGTAAAGTTACACAGCCTAAAAACACATTGAGGAAAGTTGTAAAATCTGGCAGACAATGTGCATTCGGGCATGAACATTTGGTGTCATGAAAGATTCCAACCTAGCACTGGGTATTCCTGTGTTCTTTTCAGCCTATGGTACTTTCTAGAAAACAGTGTGTTCTGGGGTTGTCATTCATCTTCCTGATAAGTTTCGTTTTGTGATATTAACAAGAAAATGTTTCTGTATTTACAAAATGAACATTAAAGACAGAGCACTGTATTACTGAAAGTATAGAAGTCAACTGTACAATTTGATACACAAAGCATCCACTTATTTTTAGTCCTCAGAGAAACACAGGAAAGTAATTGTAGACATATAATTGAACTATAATGTGATAGAGGTAATTGCACTTGTGCGAACATGGTTTCATGGGGACACTGATGGTGAAGGAAATCACTTGGCTTGAGAAACAAGGAAGACTTCCAAAAAAGTTTCATTTCAGCAGAGTCCTAAAGGCTAAGCAGGGGGTTTTCAGGGGCTTCAGGGAAGAGATGAGCATTCTGGGCACAGGGGGTGATGTGGGGAAATTGTACAGAGGTGGGAAGTGAATTGCAGGGGTAAGACCTGGGTACTAACAGATGTTAAATCTCTGGTCTAGCTTTGAGATTAGAAAATGGAAAGTAGACCCTTAAATGATACCATATACCTTCCAAGAGTTAATCTGCATAATTTTTACTACCATCCCATTTTCCTGTCATTTAGAAATGCAATAATTTTATCACTGGAGTCCCTAGGTAAATGTGGACACAAAGGGGACCTGGTGAGGACTCAATGTGCAGCTAATAGTGCTCTGCCTTGAAGTCCTGCTCTGGCCGACATTCATTAGCAGCTTTATCATGAGGCGAGTTTGTTTTTTCGTGTATATTGTGTGGTGATCATTTTTGTAGGTGATGAGAATGTAAAGGTGAATGATACATAGAGTATCCCCTCTGTGATGCTGACAGTCACACTGGGTAGAAAGATTTGCACTCAAGTGTCTATAGTATGAGGGAAAAGACAGAGACCGCAGCCCCAGGGCATGTACTTGGCTAAACGGTGCTTCTTTTCAGCATACACAGTGCTATTTATAATGTTTGGTTTGGAAGATAAAGCTGGACATTGGAATAGTTCACTAAAAGTTTTCATCACTGTCTTACCTTTAAAAATCACATGATGTTGGTTGGTGCACCGTTGGTGTTGTATCAATTAGAGCTGAGTAACAGCTGCATCTGTGGAAAGTGCCCTAGCTCAGGGCCGTTCTCTGACTCCATCTCTCCCTCCAGACTTTTATCCTATCTGTTCAGTGATGACACCCGCCTGGCTCCTGGAGACATCTGTGCTTATGATGCATCAGACTTATTGAAGTGTCTTAGAAAATAACTCAGACCATAACCTGCCTAATTTGCAACCGTATTCATCTTTTACAATTGTGGAGTTTTTGTTTGTTTGTTTGTTTGTTTTTCTTTGAGATGGAGTTTTGCTCTGGTCACCCAGGCTACATTGCAGTGGCGCGATCTCACTGCAACCTCCGCCTCCGCCTCCCGAGTTCAAGTGATTCTTCTGCCTCAGCCTCCTGCGTAGCTGGGATTACAGGCACTCGACACAGTGCCCGCCTAATTTTTGTATTTTTGGTAGACACGGGGTTTCGCCATGTTGGCCAGGCTGGTCTCAAACTCTTGACCTCAGATAATCTGCCCAGCTCGGCTTTCCAAAGTGCTGGGACTACAGGTGTGAGCCACCACTCCCAGCCACTAAAATTGTATTCAGAACATGCTCATGAGGTTTTTGTGATTGTCCCTTGTGTAGATTTCCTGTGTACATTTCCAGCTACCTTCATTTGCCTGCAAAACTAGTACACATGATCTACTTTGGTATTTATGACCTTTGAGAGAAGACTGTTTTACATGAAGCAGGAATAAAGTATAAGCCAACATTAAAGAAAATTCTCTGTTATGTTCTCTGTAATCGAAACAAAATTCTCTGTAACTTCAGCATGATTTTGTCTTTAACTGACACAAGGCACTTTACCCGGGCTCTTTATTTTATTGGCATAACTTGTCTTGCACCCTAATTTAACGACACATTTTCAGACCTGATCCACACTTCCCCTGAGAGGAATAGTCAAAATTATGCCCCAGTATTAACTCATTTTTTGGAAACCAATGAACATTGTAAAATATCGTCCCAGGCAAAGACTTCTGCATTTGTGGTAAAAACCACTGTTGAGTACACTGGATTGATCAATGTCTTTTTTTACGTAGCATTTATGTGCAAAAATGTAATGTTCAATGCTTGCAATTTCTTCAGCCCCAGGGTACCCTTGAAATATTTGCTCTTAACTTGCTGACAGGAGGTACCAAACCATCAGTACCTTCCTGCACACAGATTTCCCTAATGCAGCAGTGGCTATCTATGGGAAAGACAATACACACTATTTACTACGTTGGTGCAGAAGTAATTGCGATTTTTGCCATTAAAAGTAATACAAGATTGTCATAATAATATGGTACAGGTTAATTAAATTGCCCCAAATGGAGTAATATTTTACTTACCTAAGTTCTAAAGATATTTGGTGTACTGAGCTCTTCCTGGTCTCTGGAACCGCAGAGAGGTGCCCCTAGACCTTCCTTCTTGCGTGGGGGCCTCCTGCATATCTCCTCTGAAAGCCATTGAATAAGTAGATCTGACACCTTTGATCCAGTTTCTGGCATGCAAGAGGGAAGAACTAAGTCTTTCTTCTTTTTCCTCAACTATAACAAGTTCTTTCCCTATCTGGAAAGGGAAGAAATGGAAATAGAGCTCAGATGGAATTATGGAGAGGTGTGTCTTAGGAGGGATGAAAGAAAGTGTGTTTCCTAAGAAACAGAAAAACTGCATTCATGTCTCATTGCATATTTTAAAAATATTTCTTTTTTTCCTTTTTTTTTTTTTTTGAGATGAAGTGTCACTCTATTGCCCAGTCTGGAATGCAGTGGCACCCTTGGCTCACTTCTTACTCGCCTCTTGGGTTCAAAGGGTTCTCCTTCCTCAGCCTCCTGAGTATCTGGGGTTACAGGTGTGCACCACCACACCCAGCTAATTTTTGTATTTTTGTAGAGACAGGGTTTCACTATATTGGCCAGGTAGGTCTTGAACTCCTGTCCTCAGGTGATTTGCACGCCTCGGTCTCCCAAAGTACTAGGATTACAGGCATAAGCCACTGTGCCTGGCCTTATTTCTGTTTATTGATACAGAATCGGGGTACATATTTTCAGGGTCCATGTGATAATTTAATACATTCATATAATATGTAAAGATCACATCAGGGAAATTGGGATAACCATTACCTTAAATATTTGCTGCTTCTTTACATTAGAAACATTCAAATGATTCTCTTCTAGCTATTTTGAAGTGTATAGTAGATTATCACTAACTATAGTCATCTTCCTGATCTATCAAACACCAGGTCTTATTTTTGATATCATTTCTTATATTTGTACCCATTAAGCAACCTCTCTTTATCCCCATTGCATTTTGAGCACATAGATGCATTTGCTGAGATTTCAGAGCTCACAGGAAATTGATTATTATATAGGTTAGTGTCTCCGTAAATGAAGTTGTTATATAAATTTTGTGTCACAGTGATGTCAGGTGTAGATTGTGTATAGTCTTGTCCAGATACCAGCTCTGACTTTTTCTTTTTCTTTTCTTTTCTTTTTTTTTTTTTTTGAGTCGGAATCTCGCTCTGTAGCCAGGCTGGAGTGCAGTGGCGCCATCTTGGCTCATTTCAAGCTCCGCCTCCCCGGTTCACGCCATTCTCCTGCCTCAGCCTCCCGAGTAGCTGGGACCACAGGTGCCCGCCACCACCCCCGGCTAATTTTTTGTATTTTTAGTAGGAACGGAGTTTCTCCGTGTTAGCCAGGATGGTCTCTATCTCCTGACGCCTTTATTCGTGCCCGCCTCGGCCTTCCCAAAGTGGGGATTCAGGCGTGAGCCACCGCGCCCGGCCAGCTCTGGCTTTTTCCATTTGAGACTCTTACTGTAGAGTTGTCCACGGCCAGGTTCGGTGGCATCATACCTGTAATCCCAGTACTTTGAAGCCGAGGCCGGAGGAATCAATTCAGCTGAGGAGTTTGCGGAGACCCAGACACTGCCGACATGCGAACACCCATCTCTACCAAAAACCACAAAATTAGGCCAGGCACGAGTGGTGTGCACCTCTCAACCTCAAGCTATTCAGGGAAGGGCTGGAGGTAGGAGGATTAACCCGCGAGGCGGCTGCAGTGAGCCGATATTCACGCCCACTGCCCTCCAGGCCTGGGATACAGACGGAGCAACTTCCTTCTCATCATAAAGAAAAAAAAAAACAAAGAATTGGACGGGTTACTCATCCTCTCTATGCCTCTGTTT